AGGCGCGAGGTTACGGTACCATGTGCGGGCTACCCCTTTGAAGGTGGTGGAAAAGGCCACACACATGTAGGATTCACTCGCTCTTACCAGGTGCATCTGGGACTAGAAGGCGTCTACATGATCATTTGGATCGAAGGATCCGTCATACTTGTCCAGTGGAGGGAGCTTGAAGTCCCTTGGCATGGGGACAACAACGAGTTCTGGAGATAATGGGGAAGAAACTGAGAGGAGAGGGGTAGCTTTCACTTCACCTGAGCATACCTCCTCTTTTCCTTTGAGCTCGGGAGAGACTCGGGTAGCAGTTTGGCGAGCTCGCCAGCGTCTTCGCTGCTGCTTTGCTGGCTCAGTGTTGGTGCTTAATGCTTCAGTGTTGCCGAGCTCGACGGGCTCAGACTGGTGGTGGTGGCTCTGAACCGAAGGGCCTTGCATATAGTCTGCGGCCAAAACCTCGAACGGATTCTCTGCGAGCGGAAACTCGAACCGCGAAGGCCTAGGCAATACGGGCTTGGTTGGATGGGAGGCCCCCGACTTGCCCACAAGCTGCGAGGCGAGGGTGGCTGGCCTCTCCTTCTGGCTATGGGAAGAGGATTGGCTCTTGGCGGGATCCTGGGCCTGGGAGGCCTCTCCCCGGCGAGGTCGTTCACTCCGGTGGGAGGGCTTGGTCTTCTTCGTGGCCGGATGCCGAGGGGGAAGCGACTGCTGGGCCTGAGGCAGAGAGGGAAACTACTGCTGATACTGGTATTGGGAAACCTGGTGCAGCACGTGTTGTTGATAGAGTTGGAATTGCTGAAATTGTTGCATTTGAGCTTGCATGGCTCGCATGCACTACATTAAATCCTCCAACTGGTTCGGGTTGACCGCTGGGGTTACAGCCGAGGGTTCAGCAAAAGTTGCTCCAACTGTGGAAGGGAGTGGAGCAACCGTGGGTGCCATTGTGAGAGGCACGTTCAAACTGGGAACTCCGTCCACGGAGAGGGGGACGGTGAACTGCCCAATACATACAGTAGGAAGTTGGGGCTGCTCCCCAGAAGCATTCTGGCTGGCACCACGTCCGGCGTTGCTGGAGGAAGCCATGAATGTTGAGTTTTCAGAAAAGGAAACTGTAAAAGCTTAGAGTAAGGCTTCTTGAAGCGTTTCCCACAGACGGCGCCAAATGATGTGTCACGATCCGGGCACTCCTAGCTGGTTGCTGACTGGCTCCTAGCTGGAAAGGGGTGGGACCTGAGAAGAGGAAGGTGAAGGATTCCCGGGGGATTCGCCCGACAGAAATACTCCGAAGCTTAAGTTAGAACGCTGGGGGAGAAAGTAAAGAGTGTAAAGAGGCTAAGAGTGTAGGTCACGCTAGATCACTGAGTTCTCAAGATTAGCTCGAGAGTAAGTAAGATGACTCAAAATCAGATTCAATCAGAGATCCCTCTCCCCTTCGACAAAGGGGCTTTTATAGGGGCATTCTTGTCAAATCGGGCGTAACCGCCATTGGGCTTCTGTCGCAGCCGTTACCTGCCAGGGCTGCGTAGGTGACCGTTGCAGGGTACTACCCAACTGGATGGGTGACACGTTCCGGGAGGACAGGCACACGACCATCTGTCGAGAGATGTGGGTACAGTCTGTCGAATGGGCAGGAACTGCACCGTCAATCAAGAGACGTGGCGCAATCTGACGGGTATGGTCTTGTCAGATATAAGCTTCCTGAGAGCATCGCGTCGCTTAGTCGCGAGCTACTTCGTAGCGAGCTCCCAAGGGTACTTCGAGGTGATCCTCATCGAGATTGTCTTTGGGGCAGTCTTTCTGCCTAAGTGTTGGAGCGAGCTGGTTACCCTAGCTCACGAGTTGGGATAGTCTTGGAGTATTCCCTTTCAGTAGCTCGGGGGACCTCGAGCTCGCGTTGTAGCGAGCTATGACGTAGCGAGGTGTTCTGCAGGCTCGTTACTTAGTCGCAGTCAGGTTGTGGCGCTAAGTTGTTGCTCGTGCTGAGTGAGATCCACGTGTCATTGCCTTTGAGGTCGGGTCAAATCATCCTCCGTCAGTTTTTATGGTTGAGATCTTGCGTATTTAGAGTAGAAGCCACATGGGCACACTTTTGTAACGCCGTAAGCCTCTCAAGTGCATGCAAATTAGGTACCGATCGAAAAAAAAAAAAAAAAAAAGTGAGAACAAATTAGGGGTGCAAGTTAGCCTTGGTTAAGTCAATATGAGGGCAATTCTAACCCAGCCCAAGTTTTTTAATCCCACGATCAATGTTTAATGACATATGGTTGGTTTAGGTTGAGGTGTTGAGTTCTGGTTGGTTTGTGGCATTGAGTTCGAATTGAAGCATATTTATTACATCTCTACTTTTTAAATATATTTCTTGCACTTCAAATAAATCAATTATTCCTTTATCGGCCATTTAAAATTTTGTAGAAATGCTTGCAAAAAAGGATCATTGTAAGCTTATATGCACTATAAAGACAATGTGATCAAAATCCCCAATATGATGAATATTGTTTCCATTATTTCGAAATTTCTTATGAATGATAAAATATTCCTCTTGAGCAATGGATATTCATCAAAGATTGAAGGACTAATTCTATCAATATATTTTTCTTTAAATATGTTGTTGAGGAGAATAGCCATATAAAATTTTTGTTGCAACCCTTGACAATATTAAACCAAATAATAAAGTCATCGGATTTGATTTTATCTTTAAACTCTGTATTGGTAATTTCTCCATGAAATTTTAGTCCATGAATTCTTTTGGAGTTATACTTCGTAAAACCCTAGGAACTCAATTTTAAGACCTACTTCCCATTGTCTTTATTCACTACCTGCAAGTATAGCCAATTTGATTGTTTGCCTTGATGATGATAAAGAACGAATGGAAGAACATTATGAAATTCCAGGATCTCAATCTTGAAACTCGTTTCCTATCATTTTTTGTCATCACCCACAATTATAGTCGATTTGGTTATTTGCCTTGATGATGAAAAGAAATGAATAGGAAAATTTGTATTGTAATAGGTATCTTTAGTTTCATAATGACAATGTAGTGATCTTAACTCTTGAGCAAATGCACTAACTTGTATTTTGAGTTTTACCACCTCTTCTTATGTTTTGTTGTTAATCTCCTGTTCCATGATGTGAGCCATTTGTCTTTTCTTAGGAGGCAAAATCCAAAGAAGGGATTAAATATGTGCTCTGACATAAACCAGAAACAAATTATGTTCAAAGAAGTTTCAAAAAAAATAACTAAAGCTAAAAAATAAGAAAAACAATTTTTCAATGAATAATTAAGAGAAAATCAACATCATTACAACTTTCTTTCTATCAATGGTCTATTCCTTTCATAGACTTCTTTTACACCCTTATGCATCCTAGAAGAAAGTTTCCTGCTACTCCTTAATTAAACCTACTAAATCTCTACAAAAAAAGAAATTCCTAATCGAAGACAAATTCAAAAATCCAATATTATGCTACCTTCGTAAATGCAAATTAAAAAAATTTGCGAGGTTGTTATCATAGTAAATATGAACTAAGATAGGTCATCAGAGCTCAATTAGGGAGAGTCCCATACTGCATACTTTAGGTCGGATTTAATTTACAAAAATGTTCTCATTCTTAAATACAGATTTGACTTATTATGGTTATTTGGCTTTTTGGCATTATACAGAGATGAAACCATGGTGCTTTAAATACATGTTTATGTATCTACCAAGCAATCCCTATAGTGCCGAAAAGGTATGGTACCACTATCTGAAAAACCTTAACCAATCGGCAATCCAATGAATTTGGATGAGTATCAGTTGGTTGGTTACCACTAGGATGAATGTTAATTGATTAGTATTTTAACCCTAACGTTGAGGTAATTTTTGGCCCAATACAATACAATCAGACTTTTTTAGGTTGGGTTGTCCTAGACTGGCTCAAGTTGCATCCTTCGGATAAATAGCCACGTTTTAATCAAGAAAAACACATTACACATCATTATTATTGTTTGTTCCAGCTAACAGAAGTTATTCCTATGAGAGGTCAGAGCATCTCACCCTGAAGCATAGGTTGCTTGGTCAAAGTATCGGTACGTTTCAGTATAGAACAGGTAAAAGCTATCAAATACTCTACGTAGGTCTGTAAATGGAGTGAATTTGAATCGAATAAGATGATATTCGTGTTCGATTTTGACTAAAGAATAATTAGTTCGAATTCGATTTGATATCTGTTGGATACTCAAAAATGTAAACTGAATTCGAATTTGTTTAAAATATCGAATATTCAAATTAGACTGATTCTATAAATATTAAAAATCCTAAGTCTAGAAATCAGATTACACAAGAAGAAATCTCTTTGTTGTTGCCTGTGAGCAAAAAAGAAAAAACCTCAAAAGACTAGAATAAAAATAAAAGAATAGCAAAAAACACCTAAAAATCTAAAAAAAAAAGAAATATAAAAAAGCAACAGAGAAAGCTAAGATTTGAATGGAAGAAATTAGAACGCCATGAAGCTCATTTGTCTTCGATAAAACCCGATACTCTCATTTTTCTCCATACTACCTCTGATTGCAAGTTTAAAAGCAGTGAAAATGAAGAATGATAACACGGCGAGGGAAGAGGGAGATGAGGCAGAGATAAGAATGGATCGATAGGTTAGAAACACTGAGAGTTGCATGTTAGGAGATGAGAGAAAAAAAGTCTTGTGAAAATGAAATGGGGGAGAGGGAGGGCTAATGTCCCGATGAAAGACACGAGGGGTTAATGGGTTATTGTCTCGATGAAAAAGATACTATAATAATCAACTGACTATTGTATCCTTAATTGTTTTTTTGTCAATTTTTCTGAAAAGGACTGTGTATCTTTATTTGTCTTAATAATGCTCTTACACGTTTTTGTGAAAAGGTGTAAAAATATTATATATATATATATATATATATATAGTATTCAAATTTAATTCAAATTTGACAATTAAATTAATTGAATTTGATTCATTTACATCGGATATCGAATTCAAAATTAGATATTGGAATACCGTTTACACCCCTATTCTATGGGGTTGGTCGATCAGATGAATCTTGTCGCACCATTTATTATGCCATGTCCATTACTAAAGTCATTGTTCACGTACAACTACTAAATAAAATCGACAGATGTCTTAAATTCCCCATCTTTTCATAGAACTATTGCTCATCTCATCATCGTCATCTTCATTCAAGCCCAACTAGATGTGGTTGACAAAAAATGCGGTTTACAACATATATCCTGTTTCGCCATTTTGCTCTGTTTAATGCCATAACCATTGTTAAATTATTGTTCACCTACTCCTATTAATTAAAATTGACATGTCTTAAATTCCTCACTTTTGATGTATCGGTGACCTCAATTGAAAATGCACACCTTGTGCCAGACAATATTTGCTGTATGCACTTGAGATGCAAGTACCTAACAGAGAGAGAGAGAGAGATCATTAGACCACTAAAATTTGACTTCTTATCTGCAACTATTATTACATAACAGTTGATACAAAGATATTTCTCAATTGTGTGGATCCATAGGCTGCACTTCTCAGTAGCTCTAAAACGTAACGAAAAAGAACTCAAGCCTCTCAGAAAGTACCTATGCATTAAGAACGCTCGAGTAATGTTCTCCTGCATGGCGGCCCTTCCTTTCTATCCAACCTCACTCGTTGAATCCATGGGATGCTAAGAAGGAATCTTGAAAACTGGCAAGGGGCTACACATAATACTTCAGTTCATCTAGGAATCACCTCAGTGATACTGATTTGAGAGGAGCTGTACATTTGGCTTGTATAGTTGGTCGATGTCAAATTTTTACTTGATGAGGATGGAGCTCCACTGCTTCCCACCGAGTCTTCAAAGAAACCTGGGGGTGTAAGTTCCTTCTCATTAAGCCGTACATGCCTTGAGAGCATGTCCATAACTTGGGTCATTGTAGGCCTTCGGCCTGCTGCTGCTTGGGTGCAGAAAAGTGCTATCTTTATGTACCTAAGAACTTCTTCCTCTGGGAATTCTTCCAGCTCCGGGTCCACCAGCTCTAGCAATTTTCCTTCCTCGTAAAGTTGCCAAGTCTGTTGATGCAACTATCAAAAGTTACAAGGGAATACAAATTGGAGGATAAACGATACACTAAAAAGTAGATCATTGAAAAGCTCACAAAGTAAAATAAACTATGAAAAAAAAAACTGACACAGAAGAATAAAACAAAAGAGGGGGGTGGTATTAATAATGGACAGTAAAGATAAGAGATATGCTTTATGCAGTTTCTCTATATGAAGCCTCTTCCAGAATGGGGTGTCCACTTTGATAAGCAAAATACGTATTTTGGGGGGTAAAGTTGCTGAGATAGCCCTTATCCTAATTTTTCAGTTGTTGTATTGATAACTAATCTGTATTCCTTTTCAACTGTACATGTTAAAACTAATCTGTAACCGTACAAATTGAGTTACAGAACATTCTCTATCAAAACCTTTCTTATCTTTCATGGTATCAGAGCCATAAATGGCAACCCACCAAAGCTCTTCCTCTTCTTCCACAACTACTAAATTCAATACAACTACAGGATCAACAGACCTGATTACAGCCTCTCAAACACCTTTTGATCTTAACATTACACCTGTTATTTCTGTAAAACTTGATGGTCAGAACTGTCATCTGGAAATCGCAATTTATACGCAGTCTTAATGGTCGTAGACTGCTTGGCTATGCCACTGGATCACACAAGGCTCCGAGTAAGACTATCATTTCTACTTCTGAGAATGGATCTCCAATTACTGTTGAAAACCCAGAGTATGCTACTTGGGAGGTTCAGGATCAACAGACCGTGCATTACACATGTTGCTGAGATAGCCCTTATCCTAATTTTTCAGTTGTTGTATTGATAACTAATCTGTATTCCTTTTTAACTGTACATGTTAAAACTAACCTGTAACTGTACATAACAGTTTTGAGTTAAATAGATCAATTGTCTGTAACGAATTGAGTTACAGAACATTCTCTATCAAAACCTTTCTTATCTTTCAAGAACTAAGGATACATGATCAAGAGTATATGGATTATTTGCAAGAAAAATACAAGAGGTACTTGGTAAGACATAAAATGTTTGGGTATCAGAAAATTCACCATAAAGTCAAATTAGAAATTGTATATAGAAGAAGAGTAAGAAATAATGAACCAAATCAGACTGCAAAATACTGATAAGATGAATGGCCAAGAAAAGGATGGTTTTCAATACTACGAGAGGAAACTAACCCATTCAAGAAGAAACCTTTTCATCCCTCCCCAGGTTGCCGTTGCAACACTTCTGCCACTAATTATTTCAAGTGTTAGGATCCCAAAACTGTATACATCAGCCTTCTTGGTTAACTGACCACGCAATGCATATTCTGGTGCCAAATAACCACTGCATGAAACAGAATACTGTGTGGGAATATGTCTCATATAATTGAATAACGCAGAGCATGTAGACTTCACCTCAATCAAATTGACCAATGAACAATTGGCATTGCTTGTATTATACAGGATAATCAAATTTTAATATTAATTAATGCTAATATAAGAAGCATCTCAATTGTGTGTGTGTGTGTGTGTGTGTGAGAGAGAGAGAGAGAGAGAGAGCGAGTAATTCTTTTGGATGAGAGAGAGATCAAATAAGACACCAAAAAAATTGAAGTTCAATTAATCAATTACATTTACAAGGACTACAAAAAATAGCCAAAATTTTCCAACAGAAAAAAAATGCCAGCATAAACCATCTAGCTTCCAATGTGGGTAAAAAAAGCAATAACATGCAATATAATAGAATAAATAAACTGCCATATTTATTTTACTATCTGATCACTTACGTGGTTCCTGCAACTCGTGTACTAATATGAGTTATATTTTCTGGGAACAGTTTAGCCAGTCCAAAGTCTCCAATTTTTGCAATGAAGTCCTTGCCAAGAAGTATATTACTAGCTTTGATGTCTCTATGCACGATATGTGGCTCAAGTTCTTCATGAAGGAATGCCAGACCTCTGGCAGTATCCATGCAAATGGTAGATCTTTTATCCCAGTCTAAGTTAATGGTTTTCTTCTTGGAACCTACAAAGAACAAGGCAAGCAAAGTATCTTTTAAATGCCTCCTCCAGAATAATAGTAATAAGTCATACATCTGTGGTGGCTGCTGAAAATCACCTAATAATGCACCATCAAGGCTGTTATTTTCAACATATTCATAGACCAAAATTCGGTTGTTTCCTTGAGCACAACAACCAATTAACTCAACTAGGTTTGGATGCTTGACATTTGAGACTGCTTGAATCTCTGTCAAAAATTCATTTGTCCCTTGCTTTGATTCAGTAGAAAGGACCTTAACAGCAATTTGTGTTCCATTGCTAAGGATTCCCTGTAAAATGGCATAAAAATTAACTGATATAGACATTTAGACACTGAAGTGAAGAAAGAATACAGAAATATCATTTAAAAGTCTCAACTTTAATAGCATATGTAATAGTAATGCTTAAGTTTGTGATCATTAGAAAATATAAAAATTGTGAAGGCACTAATATTCAACAAGCTCCTGTATAGTGATGACCAAGAAAAATGTACAAGACAAAAAGTTCTCTAGGTCACCTTTGTTCTGCAAATACCTAAAACCGATGCTTTTCCATGGATAATTTTCAAGCTCTGCTGTTTTATAAGTGGACAATGGTGCATAAAAAGAGCATAGAATAAATTGGAGTGGAAAAGGAAATTTATTTGCAAGACGATTCAGGTGTTAAAAGATATTGTTTAGCTTCTTTTTTATCAGCAACAATATTGTTTAGCTTCTTAACAAATAATGTCAATTGAAAATCCACAAATAAATCGTGCTTCAACTTTTAATGGCTGGACCTCATCAATGGGATGAGCAGTTATAGAGCACGTGTTAGTGTGTGCTCATCACAGATCAAGATTTGTTGAAACAGGACTCGTTATGCGTAGGAAATAGGAAGAAACAATCTTTTTACTTGTGCCTCCTTTTATTATATTATTTCCTTCTTGATCATTTTCACATGTGGCGTCCTTTTCCAATCATTTCATGACATAAAGACATCACAACATCAACTTTAACATTTAGATAATTTACTGGATTGGTGGCATTGGCCATAATTTTTTTATCAATAAAAATGATCAAAGAGGTTTTTATTAATGGGTGAAGAACATCCTGCTATTGTGAAAATACAGTAGCAGGAGTGATACAAATGTCAACATATATGGTCATGCAACAGAAAACAGCACAATGTATATACATCCCCCTTTTTACATAAGTAATAAATTTTAAAATAAGGCAAAACAATGTTCACATCAACTCAGGGAATTCAGATTAGCTGAAGGCTTTAGCTGTTCAGCAGGCTGTAGAACCAATAATAATGCTCCACGCCGGTGATAAAATACATGGAGCCCACACTGAGAGGTTGAATGGTTGTGGATCCCATGTATTTTAAGACTGGTGTGGAGTGTTATTATTGGTTCCACAGCCTGTCGAATAGCTAAAGCATTCAGCTAATCCTATCTTCAATTCAGGGTATCAAAGGCAACAGATTTCATGTAGCCAACCCCATATAGTTGGGATAAGACATGGTTTTAGGTTGTTATTTTTCTTATGGCCTTATTTCATTTTCATTTACATGGCCACGCAGCCCAGTTTAAATTTCTAGGAAAAAAACTTATTTGGTCAACAATCATAAGAGTCCAAGGTCACACAGAATGAAAAAAACTTATTCATTCTGGTTGGGATACAATGTACCACTATTTTTTCCCCAATTTTGGGGCTTTTCTCAAAGCCATTTAGGTTGTATTTTTGTTCCATCTACATTGCTTCTTTTCCAAATGATTCCTTGATTATCAATAAAAAATAAAATCAAATATCAGATGATTTCATATGCAGTTAACATTGTCCTCTTTAATTTTTTCAAACCAAAAGTAACTACCACTTTCGAACTGTGAATACCTTGTAAACAGTTCCAAACCCTCCTCGGCCAACTTTATTGCTTTCATGAAAGTTGTCTGTTGCAAACTTCAATTCATTATAACGGAATATCTTAACATTCCCTGGCACAGACTCTGTAAACAACCATAGAAGTAAAAAATAAAAATAAAGAAATGAAAAGAGGAAAGTTAAAGAACAGAAAGATGATCAACAAGAGGAAAATAAGGGCATCTGAAAATTGCAAACAAAAGACAACTTGGTGATGACAAAGTTGAATCTTTAAATCATGGCCATGATTTAAAGATTACAATCTCTAGTTTTTCATTTTTTCAGGAAGAGTTGTGAATAGGCAGGAGACCTCAAACAATGTTTTAAAATGTGGGAGGCATGTTACAAGGTGTTCCATTACCAAGAAGCATGAGGCATAGTTTAGAATGCAAGAGGCGTAAGCATCCTCAAGAGGAGTTCTTCTTTCTTTCTTTTCTTTCTCCTTCTTTCTTTTTTTTTTCCTTCTTCCTTTCTTTTTTTTCTTTCTCCCTTCCCTTCCACATGAGGCACATGAGGCACAAAAGAGGTGCATGCCTCACGCAAATTCCATTTGAGGCATATGCCTCAGGTATTTTGAATGCACCTCAACTAGAGGCAAGCCTTGAGGCATATGCCTCAAACACCTTTAAAAACATTGATCCTCAACAGTCCATTACAATTTACAGGATGATGGCATCATACAAGTTTTTTTTTATGTCCAAACAAATAAATTAAGATGATACATGCTCATATGAACATGATGTAGGATGAGAAGAGAGATAGTCATATAAAGCAGATCTGTGATGGGCTAAATGGAGAAGCAGCAATAAAGTTTGTAGGTTATACAGGAAACTGATCTAGTAAATGTTTGAGAATTAATTTTTGATGTTTCTAGTATGCTTAGAGAAGAAATTGGTAGATTTAGGATGGAAAAAAATGAAGTTTCGAAAGTTTAGGTAGGAGTGAAAAACAAGTTGCATGTCCAATCTTTAAAAGAAGAAGGCGCAACCTGAAATAGCTCTATAAACTATAAGGTACAAAAAGGTTATTTTACCCTGATATGGCAAGAACATGGCTGGATACAGTATCAGATACTGTCCTGGTATCATAGTGGAGGGGAGAAGTATACAGTGCTTGTGCTCAAATCAGAGAGGGAGAGGGGGAGAGAGAGAGAGAGAGAGAGAGAGAGAGAGAGGTCACAACTTCAAAAAATCATATTAATTCCATCTTTTAATAAGTTAAGCTTAACAATAGATTTAGAAAACACTATGGTAGGCTAGACATAGGCTTTCCTTAATAAAGTCAGATACTTAGTGATGATGAAAAGATTTTGTGAAACCATAACATAATATCCAAAAAACTTCTATAATTTTCTAACCTAACCTAAAGAAACAAGTAAAAGAAAAGTAAAGCACTATTTTACTATAAATAGTAATTTATGGAAAATATTATAAATTGTAAGCCCAAAGTTACTATACACTGTAACTTCATTTTTATTGAATATAGTAAATTTGTAGAACACTACTTAGCACTGCAACCATCTAGCATCTCCTAATAGACTTCCCGTTAGGATCTGTGAGCCCCACTTCCATGTTCTTCCCAAAATATTAAAAAATTCTTTCTCCATGATTTCTCTTCAATTGCATCTCCTTCATTAGAACATAAATGAGATTCATGTTCATTGGCCTCAAATCCACGAATATCACATATGAATTCCAGTTTATAATAGTAACATTTTTGATCAAGGGTGTTTGATCAACGAAAAGGAAAGCATGTAAGGATAGAATAAAGAATAAACTGAGCATCACAAAGATTGGTTTTGTGAATAACATTTAGAGCAGAACTCTGCTTTAGATTATTAATGTAGGCAACTCTGTCAAAGCTGAGAGACTATCCTTTGGTCTCAGCTCATCCTTTTTTTTTTTGAAGATAAAAATAAAATTTATTAAGGAAAAAAGATAATACAAGAAAGTGACAAGAAGTCACCTGAGAGAAGAGCATAACAAGAACTTCTAAAAGACCAAACCCGTCTGACGAAAACACAAACCACCAACCTCTCCCAAACCTAGAAAAGGAAACAACAATGAGAACCATAAACTTCAAATCCAATCCCCAATACAACACCAGCCCACAAACCAAAAAAAGGCCACCCAAGCCAAGAAGAAAAAAGAACCCCATAAAGCACTCCAAAAAACTGAACAACAACCGCAATTTTCAGCCACTCCCACCTCCAAAACGATCTTGATCTTAGCTACTTGACATTTTTAGAATCGACTGCAGCAAGTTTATTCTCTCTCTTGTTAAAACTTTTGAATTTATTCACCTTTTTTAAAGGCCCCACTCAGCTCATCTTCCTCAATTGATTCAAAGGATATATGGTCAAAGCAACTCAAAGATGGTTTTTTTTTTTTAATTTTGGTAAAAGAGGCAAACAACAAGGGCTACACAAGCCTGGGTGTAAGCAGACCCCAAAGATGGTAATTGGTTTCATTAAAGGTATATTTATGGCTCATGATATCTAACACACTTCATAAAACAGACCTACACTCTGGCTTCCAAGTTAAACATATTTCTTAATTGACACCTAGGACTACAAAAGCAATTGGTGAGGAGCTAGCCAGAAATAGCATCATTAGCCCAGAGTTTAGGGGACTTTGTACTACTAGGATTGCTTTGTTTCTAACCAAAAGGTTCTCCTTTGTGTTAGAATGTAGGGGCTTAAAAGAAAACTTTGAGGACACAATTCAATATGGTCAGGCTTGTAATGGAAGAGTCTATGCTAAACCAATATAGCTATATTACAATATGTGTGGCTGGTCTCAGCTTGCTACCTGGACTAACAATTTTAATTATAATACACTGTGAAAAAGATAGGGGACCAACCAATGCTGGGGGCAGGGGGCTTCAGCATCTTCGTTCATGAAGTGGATGCTGTCAAACTTGAACCCATGTTCTCACTTCTCAGCCTGACATTTTACCACTGCACCAAGCAATGGGCCCTCGTGAAAAAGATGATTAAAAGAAATGCAGAGCATTTCCTGACCTAACAAAGAAGAAAGAACAATGTTCTTTAGATATCTCAGTATAGCATAATAATATCTTTCCACATTGAAGTGGATCAAAGCGGTACAGGTTATGGATTATTGAAACAAGACATTATTATCGAAGATGGCCAATGTGTAGAAATGCTAAATCATGAGATAAACGTGTTTCATTTGCACAAGCCATGATGCATAAACCCCATCACCATGATTACACCATATAGAACATGCTAATTATTCCATGGCTTTTCCATTTTATTTGATTAACTCAGGCTAACTTACAAACAGTTATGGTTGACCTTCAAAATGAAAAAAAAAACAAAAAATTAATATTCCAATTGAATTTTCATATTCTTCTCAAAGTCAGATAACATGTCCTTGAGACTCATTGCTAGTGTGTCTGTGTTCATGCATGTTTTTTGTGTTTGTGTTTATCTGTGCGACACAAATGTATCAAAGTTCTAGCTGAATTAGGAGTCAAATGACAACAGGCTATCACATCATGGATAAGTACACTTGCATCACATAATTCTTTCATAGACTAGGGAAATGTGAAGACTGAGCATATAAAAAACTCATACCATTTGCATCTCCACGAGTACAAAAAGGATGCCTTTTCCTTTCCACCACTGAGCCACCAAAGCAACCACAACTCATATCCAGGTAGAAATATCAGGTGTCAATTTTCTGCAATGTGTGCAATTTGATGCACCTTCAGGCTGCCAAGTTGATTTACATACAAATCATGGATCCATATTGTATCAGACCAAATGATGATAAAAGAATAAGTTATCAGGAAGAAAAAAAGAACCTACGAGTAATAGCATGAATCCAAATTGAGTTTTGATTTCCTCCCCTTACAAAAATGAAAAGATACCTTTTTCTTGTTTTACCGTGTCCATTCCTAATTCAAACATAATATTAAATTTGAGTATCATGGTTTTCATTCTTTTAATCATTCCTCACCGTCTGAAAATTTGAAACATCAATTGTCTCGTTGGGCACATATGGATTTGCACAGGAAACAGAATCTATCTCATGCGCAATATAACCTTTCAAATCAAGACATTGCTTTATCTGTGTAGAAGGGTACTTTTCCTTAAAATTGTTTTATCTGGGTAGAAGGGTACTTTTCCTTAAAAGGCGGCGAACTGTTTTACTAGATGAGTGGTCCTTTTCTTTTTTCTATTCTTACATGTGAAGAGAAGCCAGCTCTGAGGTCTCAATGGAGATGCTGCTTCAACTAAATAAGAACTAAGTTAGGGCTATGAAAATCCAGTAAAATTGGGATTGCCAAGTCGAACTAAGAAACTGGCACAACTTTGCAAGAAATATATATATATATATTCATTGCTTCAAATTCGAGTTTCTGGATTCCTGAATTCTCTTTGAGCAGCCATCAGCAATTTTCTCCTCTAAAAGTATTATTCTTTCCAATTCACTTCTTTCCGAAAAAAAAGAGAACGTTTACCGAATTCAGAACTAATGGGCTTATATCAAATCTATAAATTGAGGAGCGAAAGAAATCATTTGATTCATTTCGGTAGTACAAAGTTTAAACACCTAAAAGTTTGACTCCAAATACAGAAGACACCATGAAGATCCAATTGCACGAACCAAAAACAAAAAAAGAAAGAAAGTAAAAGGATTAGAAGATGAAATCTCCATCAGATAGGATGGAAGCTAGTATACAACGTTTAAGTTCCCTCCAAGAAAGCTTTACCTCGAAACGAAAACAATCAGGTTCAGGCCTTTTCCAGGACTCGTGTAACCCCAGAAATCTCTGAATCGAATAATAAAATGTTCGAGTTTCTTCTTCTTAACGATTCTTCTTTCTTCTTCTGACACTAATACAAAATACTGAAATAGACATCGACGCGTTATATAACTCATATCTCGTTCCCTCAAGCCTTCCTACCTTTCAAGCAGACAAAGACCGTTCCTTCCGCTGTATTTCTTTTCTCCCCCCGTGAAATAAAATATCTTTTTCTTACTGGGTCTCGATTCACTATTTCCCGTGACAACATATAAAAATACTTCAATCATACGATACACGCGTTTGAGAAATTGAGAGTCATATGCAAGCATGATACTCGAGTCGTTGACTCTTTACACCATGAGCACGGCGGGTGAATCAAATCTGGTCAAAATGTATGATCATACACCGAACATCAGGAATTTGTGGGGTCAGAACTCAGATGTTTGCTATTACTATATCATCACATCTGCGTCCCACAATTCCACAAACACCCCACAGCATGTATTGAAAACATCTCCCACAACTTCGGGAGATGTTCCCAATGCAAGCTGAGATGTGCATGTGGGACGCAGATGTGATCTCCATTTTGAATATCTGAACTGTGCCCCTTGATAAAAACAAGTGTAGTGAGGTCTCACCGTCTCAGTGCCCCTTTGGGTCAGAACTCAGAAATGTGAATTGGTCTGTGGTTGTTGGCCTGAAATTGCGGTAGTAAAGATTCCAAAGATCCATCAACATCAACCCAACTATTTTAGTTGGGAAAATGGGCTACAAAAAGAATTAGCCCCTCTTCCAAACCTGAAAACTCTCCAAAGTCAGCTATCCAATTTCGTTTTTTTTTCTTTTTACATGAAGACTCTTTGATTTGTTTCTATATGCTCACATGGACTTCATTATAGAGAGGGAAGAGGTAGGTCAAGACTCCTTTCCTCTCAGTGCTTTTCAATAAAGGCTATCTTTACTCTCTCCGATAAGATCTCTCTCTACAACAGTCAATGTTTGTAAGTTGTAATTATCTCACCTCTCCCACTAAAGCTAGAACATGTATGTTAAATTTATGGGGATATGTTCCTAAGGCTGTTGCACTGATGCACAACCATGATGCACAATCAAACAGTTACAAATTTGAACTGTTTGATTGCAGTACAAATGAAAATAAAGTAAAACCCAACACAAAATTAAATCAGAATGTGTATTCTTTTCATTTGCACTAATGCAAATAAAATTACACTGCAACCAAACCTAAAGTTCATAGGGTTTTTTTCTTTCTTGCAATCCCACCAAAACCCTCATTTCCTCTTAAATATTTCAATCCCTTTTGCTTCCTCTAATAAATTAGGGGTATAAATTAGATGGATTAACTCTTTACCCACAATAAACTACAACTACACGTTTTGAATTTAAGGCTAAGTTTGGAAGGAGTACAAATATAAATATGTAGAGTACAAAACATTGTATTTTGTATGTATTTGCACTAAACATATTTGTATTTATATTCCTTCCAAACTGAGCCTAAATGCTAATTTTTTGTTTAGTTGAAACTATTTTGAGTTAAAACAATTATGAAACATTTCTACAGAGATCATTGGTGCTGTTCCTCTATCAGCTCTACCCATTTGAAGAAACCATCCAATGACTTGACTCTTAATAGCTGTTTGGTTCTGTTTTCATTTATTTAATAAATGTTTTATATTTTATTCATCCTGAAAAATGTTTTTTTGATGTCTCACACAGTGCCATTAGATGCTATTACACACCACATAAGCTTAATAGTGAAAAAAACGTCCAAATATTGGGGGGAAATATTAAAAAGAAGCTTCCTCCAACACAGGGCTCTCACACAAATAGAAACAAACATTAATTTAATAAACGAATTAACCAAACAATATTTTAGGAGAAACACATATGTCACTATGTAGCACTAAACTGGCACCATTTTTTAAATAAATGACAATAGAACCAAACACCATCTTAGTTAGTATCCTATGTGACAGTTTAGAAGTATACGAAGGTGCATCAGATATATATATGCCACTGAATCATAAACCCTACCTCCATAGTAAATGTTCTTTTTTCCTTGATGTCATGCTTGCATAACCATTAGATGTGCATCTAGATGTGTAATAATGACTTAATTACCAGTAAACATTTGTTTTTTTTTTTTTAATTTGACCACTGGATGAGAATCAATATACCGAATATTTATTCAACACCTGATCAACACAAGTACCAACAAAACAAGGTTTGACATGATCTCTCTAGATGTTTGAGCCTATGATGCTAAATGGTACCAAACACAACATTATGAAGCGAAGATAAACTCTAGCAGACCTTACCTCTTTGCAAATTACCAAACCAATTGCAAAATGAAACTAGTTGTTTTCTCAAAGCAGAAAGTTTGTTTTTTTCTCGTTTTTTGGTAAAGCAGAAGATTTATGCTCTTGGATCTTTGCCAAAGTTATCATTCATGGACTGACTCCCCGGCCCATCAGTCCAGTTGTGCATAGTTTGACTTGAAGAATTTATCACCGTGTTTGGAATGAACAATGAATTGAATTCTGGCTCAAAAATAAACTGAGTACTTACCACGTTTTACGTAGATACCTCTTTTCCTCCCTTCACACACTCCAATTTGGTTCTTATTGCATAGGGTTCGACTATAATACCAGAAAGACATGATATCAACAAAATTTACATCCAATCAAGTAAGAGGTGATCAATCAGGTGGTATTCGTCATAATTCATGGCTGCTTGAATTGATCAAAGCTCTTTCAATATCACGTCTTTTTCACATCATAGATTTTCGCTGTACATCTTGTTCACACTTTTTTGGCTTAAATTCACAATATGGTGTTTTCAATTGACTATGCATTTCTCATCATCTTCAAACGCACTAAATCAACCAATTTGGCTTGAAATTTTGTCATTTGTTTGACAATTGAGCAAACCATCCAAAGTCTTCTACCATAGAATGCAAATCGCACCGCAAATTTTATCAGAGTATCTCTCTAGGACGCGCTATTAAGACTTTTGGTTTTTGGATGATCTAATCAAACCTGGTGTGTGTGAGCCTTTTCCACAAAGCAGGTGTATTTGACAAGATTTTTTTGAACGTAGCAAGGGATTCTACATTTTCTTTCTAAATTTGATGGGAACTTTTTTTTCTTTCCCCCCAAATTCCAATTGAAAAATTCTCTCTTCTCTTCTCTTCTCTTTCTCTCTCTCTTCCACTACAACCATAGTTGTATAGATCACCTGGTCCACATGAAATCACATCTTCTTTACCGAGATGAATGCAATTTATTTTTATAGTATTGGATGGTTGATTTGGACAAGTCTTCATATGAATTCAGGATGTCTCTTTTGGGTGGAACATATTTACTAGTTATATCATCTGCAATCGCCTGAATTTCAAGGCGTTCTTCGAACCAATCATATACTTTATTGAGATAGGTAACCCAAGAAGACTCCCCCTCTGAGAACTGTATACGAGAATTTCATCTCTTACAGCTCAAGCAGAAACACCCAAATACTAGTTACAAMGGATATGTAATAGAAAGTTTTAAACTTCTTAATCCCATGATTAAATTTTCCCCGAAAATAGGAAGAAACAAAAATCCGGAAGCTCCTCTTTGTGATGATAATGCCAAAATATCAAGTCAGCTCATTTGTCTTTATGTTGATCATTACAGGCCTCTTGAATCTTCTCTTTAGGATGATGCACGCAGGGGTACACCTTGGTCGGACCCGTTCTAAACTTGGACTGACCCAACCCACACTTTTATATGGGTTGGGTGTAGGTTGTTGGCCTTCAGGTTGGGCCATTGTGGGCCCAGGCCTAACCCTTAGACAAGTTCAAATCAGCCCCCCACAATGTCCCACAGCACATCTTCGCCATGTATTGGAAACATCACCCGATGATAATACTAAGAATGATGATGTCATCATTGAGAGATGTTCCAAATACATGATGGAGATGTGCTGTGGGACGTTGTGAGGGGCTGATTCGGTCTCCCCTTAGGCTTAATCCAGGTCTGAGCCTTAGGGCAAAGTAACGTTATCCAACAAGATGACCTCTTTCAAACACATGACTGACCTCCTACTTTATTTTACCCCAAATAAGAAGTTATCCATATATTTAAAAGAAAAGCCCTATCCATTCAATATTTGACAAAACCCTAACCTGAGCCCGCCCAAATTACACCCCTTAGTGGGAGATTTATTGAGGATCTGTTTAGGATGATTCAACTGAAAATAAGCTTTAGTTCCAGCTAAGCTGATTCAACCATGGTTCAGAGTATGGATATACTTGGCACCCCTCCCTTAGCCCCCAACTTGGGTGGCAATAGGATTTGATCCCAAGGTTGCGTTTGGAAACGATGCAAATAAGTGCCAATGTAAATATGTAGAATGTAAATCGGTTCATATAAATCACAAAATTGGGTAAATTTTGCACTGACAAATTAATCTTCTTACCAAACAGACTTTTAGTTATAATGGATGCAAATACAAATTCCAATAAAGCATATGCCCATTTTTTTTCATCAAAAGCCTACTTGAATACAAATTTACTTTTTTTTATTGATATGCTTTTACATCTTATTATCAATGTAAATATGCATTGACCTGCCATTTGTCAATGCATAAATGTAATATTGGCAAATACAGGCAAAAGTGAACCAGAATACAAATTTATCCCGAACCAGGATTTACACTTTATTTGCATCGTTTCCAAACACAGCCCAAGTCTCTATTCCAACAAATCAGATAACTTATCAATTAAGCCACCATCAGTTCGTATGTCTGCTAGACAGCTTAGCTGCATACGAAGTGAGAGAAGTCAGATTATCTTAGCAAGGCGCCCTATAGATAAGGCATTCAAAAGAGGCTAAAGCTGACAATCCTTCCATTGGCATAGCTGATTTGGCTTTATGGATTTTTGACCAAACATGACTTATAGGCTGTCTAAGTATCTATATGGACCCTACATGAAAACAACCACAAGCTACTCTCCTCTTAAATGAATTCAAACGGGCTCCACACATAGTGCATCCCACAGGACCCACACGCGTGCCACAGGCACATCCCCATGCATTTGGAACATCTCCCCTAACAAATACGACATATGTTCCAAATGCATGGGTGGATGTGCTTGTGGGGTGCATGTGA